TGCAACTTGTTACAATTACTCGCCAACAGGATGAAGTGTACCAGGTTTAGCAATTAAGGGACTGGGGTATAAATCATTATTTATCTCCTGTGGTAGTTAAATTCCTCCTAATTTAAGCTTCTCCAAGATCTTGCTGCATGCATAGAAACATGAACAGGCTTAAGTTCCTTATTAAACACATCTGACAATACGTATCAGCCAGCAAATGCTGACTTACTATGCCTGCATTAGGTTCAGCTCCCGTGGGGCATGTTACTGGAAATACTTTAGCAAGTTTAATTATAGGGCAATAACCAGAGACTTTTCTCAAAGCTTACCTGTACTTTATTTTTATTTAAAAGTTTAATACTCTATTAATAAAGCATCACACATTGTAAAATTTCAATATAGTACAAAATTGCCTACTACTACTACTAAAACAGATACTAAAAAAGGTAAAAACCCCACCATTACAAGAGCAGCAGTAAAAGATATTACTACAGACTAAAGAAATCCCTATTTACCGTAAAACTCTACTTAAACTCTTATCCTCAATTTCAGCATTTATGTGCACAGCATCACTATTTTGTATAATGTATCTTCTGAAAGCTAAATGGATCACCACCATGTAAACACTTTTGAACATCTATACAAAGGTAGATAATAATCTGGCTATGATAACATTTCCTAGTTGTTGAAAACTTGTGTTCTGCTATTACACATTTTGAAAAGGTTAACAGCTATAGGTGTATTTGTTAAATCAGGATCACAGTTAGGCACCTATATTTATTCTACTTTCTAAAACCCTACGCAAACTTGAATTAAACCAGATGATTTCCTCAACACTGTATATAGCACAGAAAAGATTACCAATAGGTACACAGTCCTGCTCTGAAGCCACAGCACTGGCAAACACATGCTGAATGCAAATAGCAGTGAAAAAAATACTTTTTGTATTAGACCACACATTCTAGAAAGCTTAAAATTAATCAGAAAAACCTGGTTTACACAGTTTACACATCCATAAGACCTAACAAAATGATATGCCAGCACTTAACATCAGAACTTAGTTTTCCTCTTCAAACCAGAATTCCATGCTGCCCTTTGGAAAACAGTTTAATACCAGTTGTCTCAACAAAATATTTCAAGATCTGAAGAGGTACATCATTTCTATTACCATAGTCCAGGATTTGTTGACAGCTATATAACATTCATTTAAGTTAAACTGAATTTCCACTTGTTGGGAATCTCCCAACTAGTTAAAATGACTGATCATGCACAACTACAATACATACCAACAGACCCCTCAAACAGCCAGCAAATTTTCCCTCTTCACTGACTTGGAGTGCAGTTTTAGATAGAGTACAATTAGCACAATTGTAAGAGCTATTATGAGTGCAGAAATAGTCATCCAATTGTAAATTCGTAACAGAAGTCTGCAAAACAGCAGCAATTTGGTATTTCAGTACACCAACCTGTTCTGTGGTCATCTTGCAGAAGGCACCAATGCCAGGACAAACTGCCACGAGTTATTTATCAGTTGCACAGGCATGTAATGCCAACAGAGACACTAAAATTACTTCATTACTAATTACAAAAATAGAGCAAGAAAGAACTGTTCTCCCCTAATAATCTGAAATGCTCAAGGATGAACTCTTCCCTTCATGCAAGGGAAAGGGTAGTTCCCAATTTATTTATGTATGACTGTGAAATGAACCCTCACAGAGGAATTAAACCCCTAAGCAAGGTTCAGGGTCAGCTTAAATCCAAACACTCTCCTATTTCAACACATAATGGTACAGCCCCTTTGCCTGATGAAGGCATATTTTGTACAGTCAAGATAAACCTCCTTATTTATCTTATTTATACAAAATTGATTATTTTACATCCTCTACTTTTAGTGACAGTGAAACAAGGAAAACTAAGCTTACAGGGAGGGGATGAAAGCTATGAAAACAGCACTTAGTGCAAGACTTAAAATAACGCGACAAATTATTCCAGTACCACAAACCAAAGTAAAGACTTCAGCACCTAGACAATCCTCCACTGCCAACAGCTTTCACTTAACTGCACAAAAATTAGCTTCCTTTACATTTGGTCTACACGGAGAGCAGCAACTTACTGACATCTGCTCCCTCAGTGAAGGAATTAATGTCTATCTGGAACACAGACCCAGAAATATTAACTCTGATGGGAAAAAAAAAAAAACCTAGCAAGCTCAGAGGATGTATTAACACCTATGATACATAGATTATTAAATTATTTCTGTCCAAGGACTGTGAAATGCATGTGTTTTTCAGGGTACAGTCATCCAAGTAATTGTGCAAAAGATATTCCTAATCAAAATGCAAACATAATACTTTCTTTATGAAGGTATCCAATTTCACCATGATGTCTGATGACACCTGTATACTTCAGAAGAGCTGAAGTGAAAAGCCAGAACAAAACTTTACATTTCCTCATATATTAATTATTCCAAGCTTTATGGTATCATAGCCTTGTTGGACAAGCTGATCCTGGAGGTCCTTTCCAACCTGGTATTCTATGATATCCCAGCAGTGATCCAGCTCATTTGCAGTATGTGTAGTTATACTCACAATAATAAACTTTCACAGCTTGAAGTTACATGAAGTGTTTCAATATAAATCTTAACTGCTAATGCTTTCAACAAAACACTTATAAACTCCTACCTCTTAGATAGCATCTATCTCTTTTCTAGCTCTGCTTAGAGAAACAGGGTTAATGAAGAAATACCAAAATCCTTCCATGCAGGAGATGAGAGTTCATCACTCCATTATAGGCACAGAATTTTGATCCCATGACTAATTTCCCAAAACAGCCCTCACATCACCAGAAACATTAACTTTTCAACAGGAAACAAAAACTGGCCTCCTGACACCACCGATGCACACTTCACTGTGAACCTGTTTCATCATCTTTGGTAGTCTCACATGAGCTTGGGTCAAATTTAGTGGAAACTTACGTAGCTTTAAAAATATGTTTAGGAAACATTAACACAGCACTCCAACCGAGTTCATTACAGGAACACAGTAACACCTTATTTAAGAGCTGAAAAATATTTGCTTAAAGTAGCCCAAGCCCATTGGCTTGCTTTTTGTAGGAGGGAAGGGTTGGAAGGCAGGGGGGTTTGTTTGATTTGAGGGACTTTGAGATGCCTACTCCTTTGTTTCCTCTCAGCAAGAAAAACAAACGAATTTAAATCCATCTAATTCAATTCCTTTCCCACCACCCTCAAATCCTCTCATGCTTCCTCCAGAGAGTTGCATCATGGACATCCAGTCTGAGACAAATGGGGGGCAAGGGCTCTTTGGAAGCCGCCTCTTCTACCCTCTCAAACCGGGACCAGCCTTTAAGCCGGACGCACTGCACGGGCAGGGCTGGGGTTTATGGTCTACATTTGTTCAATAGTTTGTTTTTTTTCACCTCGGCTTCCGCGCCTGGCGCGCTCTCAGCCACACGCCGGCGGCGGGAGCCACTTTGCCCGTCGCCATCCCTCCGCAGCCGCGCACGGCGGCAACGGGCGGGAAGCACGGCACCGCACTGCCCGCAGCCGCGGGGAAAGCCCCTCATGCTCACACTCGCCGCGCCCCCGACCAACAGAAAAGGAACGCCGCAGAGGGCACACCAAACCCGCAGCGCGGCGGGTGGCCTCCGGCCACGCCGAAGGCTGTATGGAGGTTGGGGTATGGGAAGAAGCGAAGAGACAAAACCGCGACCGAAACGCTTGCCGCCCCTCCGGCGGGTGGCGAACAAAGCCTCGGCCGGCTCCACAGCGCGCCCCAGCCACCGCCCGCCCGGGCACAGCGCCTCAGCCGCTGCTACCCGGCATCAGCCGCCGGCGGGCGCGGGCCGGGCGCCGACGCCCACCCATGAGACGGAGCCCCCCGCTGTCCAGCTGCCTCCTCCCTCAGGCACACAGCCAGGGGCGGAGGTGCGGCGGGGCTGGCGCGCCTCAGTCACCGCGGCAGAAGCCAGGCGGCCACCAGCCCTCCCGCCCGCGGCCCTTAAACCCAACCCCAAAGAGCCGCCGCCGCTCTGCCACCTCCCTCCATTCCCTACGGTCCCGTCCCATCCCGTCTCGTCCACCTGCTCCCGGCGCCCACCTGCGGAGCAGAGCAGCACGAGGGACACCACGACCAGCGGCAGAGGCTTCATGTCGAGCCGCGAGCAGCGGGAGACCGGCACGGGCTGCTCGGTCCCGGCGGGCACCTCCCACGCGCACCGCCCAGCAGGTGAGTGAGTACGTCACTTCCGGGCAACACCACACCCGCGGTGGCTCGGCTGTTACCCCGCCGGCCGTGGCACCTGCTGCGCTCCCGGCTCTCCCCTCCCGCGGAGCCCCTCCGGCCGCCCGGCGCTCCCTCCGCCGCTGCCCGTGCCCGCGCACCTTGGCCGCCGGGCAGGCTGGGCTCTCCGCGCCTCATCGGCTGAGCTCACCGCGGGCGCCGCACCGGGTCCAAGGGCCCGAACCCCGCTGTGAGAGAGTGAGGTTGCCGCGACGGTGAAGCGGCGCCCGGGGTGCCAAGAGCGCGGCCAGCGCCATGGGGGGGGGGGCACTCTCGACGGTAGCCCCGTCCCTGGCAGTTTCGTCTCTCGGTCCCCATGGCAACGCGGGTGTCACGTGTTGTGCTTCCCTTACACCGAGCGCAAGTCCTTCGACGGAAAGATCTGGAACTGAAGCCCGCAAGCGAGGCACAAGGGAGATCAGCACCTCTGCGAAGGGGCGCAGTCCGGTCTTCACTTGTCATAAGGCACGGCTGCCCCGTGTCCAGAATAGCAGTGGGGTCGATTCCAGACCGTGGGCTGTATTCGTGTACAGCAAAGCCATTGGTTGCGTTTATCAGAAGATGAATCCGTTGACGAAGTTTATTCTCCATAATTGTGTTCTATGCATTCACTGCTAGGCATGTATTACCGTGTGCTGCAGCATGTATACTGTATACTGCTATGTATGTGTTACTGTGTACTGCAATATATAGAGCTCTTAACTGGCATAAACATGTTTTTGTCACTGTTATTTATTCATAGAATCATAGAGTGCTTTGGGTTGGAAGAGACATTAAAGATCACCTAGTTCCAGCTCCTTGCCATGGGCAGAGACACCTTCCAGGTTGCTCCAACCCCCGTCCAACCTGGCCTTGAACATTTCCAAGGATGAAGCATCCACAGCTCTTGTAAAGGTACCATCTCCTTTGTTAGGTGTACAGCTCTGTCTAAATTAAGAAAGTGTCCCCATAACCAAATATTTACACAAATGCAAAAGCTATGCAGTCCAGATTTTGCAGTCCAAACAAATCTTGAAAGGGATCATATTACTATTTGTTACTGTTCTTTGATGTCCCTAATAAATATTGTTCAAATATATTTTTATATTGTCATGTTCTGTACATATGAGATGACAGTTTAAAAAAAAAAGTTATTTCTACGCTTGTTAGATGAACAGGTGACTACTCATAAGGGTATTTTCCCAAACACTTAGCTAAAAAGGAGGTGTTACGCCTTTTGTTCAGTAATCAGTGGTGTCTCCATTTGTGACTGGAATATATGTGCACTATATATGAAGGTGTACTGTCATCTTTTAAAATGGTTGGTTACTCTAAGTAAAGGAGCAGTTTTTACCTGACACCTCAGAATTAGTTTTTTACTAAGCAGGGTAAATGCATTGTCATTTTTCACAAAGGTTCAGGTAAGTACTGCTTACATCTTTTAAGGACATGACAATTCACAGTGTTTGTTAGATCTCCTTTTAGCAACAAATCTACCCAATAAGAAGTGAGGTACAATACATCAAGCATAGAATTTTAAACTGGGAGAGTTCAAGCATTTTATTGAATGACAGAATTGCCTTTCCTTTCTATGAAGGAAGGAAAGTATCCTTCATGTAATACGAAGCCACAGGAACCAGAACCTCAAAGCAGAGATATTAAGATTTTGGTTTCTTCTGTTGTTTTATATGTGCTGCAGACTTGTGCTTTAAAGGAGAAACTGACTCGCATACCCTAGGCTGACTGGATGAGTAAGGTTTCTTGCTGTACATCCACTTGTGTCAACACAGAAATTATACACCATGGAAAGTATAATGAGGCAATCACAGTCATTACAGAAAGAGAAAATGATTCGTCATTAGAATGGAGATGCTCATTCTTCTGTGAAATAAATCCTAACTAGTAATTAAAATACATACTGCACTGCATTTAGGAAACATGAGGTCCATGCTTTGTCTAGCTAGACAAACCTATTCCTGGTCTCATAAATCAAAAGGAACACTGATGCAGTCATGCTTACAGTGCTGAAAATTGTTCACACTCATGCAAGTTAAAAGTACATCAGAGTACAATGTTAAAATAATTATTTTTAAAAAGCAAAAAATCCACCCTTCCCCACTGTGAACCTTGGTCCAGCTAATAAGGCATAAAACTACCTGATTTATTAGAGGATGTGACATTCTGTAGATTTTGAGTGGCCTGTATACTTCCTGGAACACAAAACACAATGAGGGGAAAAAGATAACTGTGAAAATGACCACTCACAAAGGAAAAGGTCAGGTTCAAAACTTTTTGAACAAATTTCTACTAGTGCTAGCATTTTGGAGGAAGCCCAGAAAAGGCTCTTGGGGTGAAAGCATAATCCGGCCAACATGGAAGAGAGAGCACCTGGAGCAGCAGCCTGCAGTCCACACACACACATTTTGCAAATGGGTAATTGTTTAGCATGTATTTTGTTGAGAATGCTGTCTCATGCTCAGGAATCTTAAAATTTATATTAAATATTAAGAAGTCATTTCCAGTGTTTAAGAAAAACTTCAGTATGAGAACTCCCACGTCAGTGTCAGTCTAAATGTGTAAATACCTTGGAATAATAAAACCAATGCAATATTTTCTAAATTTTTGCTTTTTTTTTTTACACACAACCCCCAAAACATAAATTCAGAAGTAATTTTAAAATAAGTTTGCAAAAAATGGTGTGGTTGGGACTATTTGGTATAACTAGGATGTCCAAAACTAAACTTTTCAGAGCCTGAATAAAAAGGTTTGCATATTTCTGCAACTTCTGCAATAATTTTTAAGGTAAATTATCCATTAATTTCAAACCCTGGTTATAAATGATTTGTGTTTCCTGCTTTGAAAATGCTTCTACAAAGTGAAATTACTATTGGTTTGGTTTTTTGAGGGGAAGGGTGGAAGAGTATCAAGTGAAGAGTATAAGTGAAGTTACTCATTGGCTGGACCTGCAGCCTGTGTGGGTTACACAAGTTCACAAAGGACGCGACCGTGTGATAAAATGGCACTCTTCTCTGTTTCAGTTTCTGTCCTGTGCTGGAGGAGCGGCTGTGGCCAGCTGCTGCAATTCTTGAGGGAAGATTCCCCATTGGGCTGTACCATTCATGTATATAACAGCATGTCTCAAGAAGGACAAGATTAAAAATAGGGAAGAAAGACAAAGAGAAGGAGCAAGTAGTATCTTTGGGACTTTGGGTCTGGATTCCTACTTGTAGAAGGGAGTGACCACATTTTCTTCTGGAGCACATTTTCTTCTGGATCAGCAGACTCCATCAGTTTATCATTCAGGCCAGAGCCAGCATGAGGGAGGACACAGGGATGTTTGGCCAGGAGAGGGGATACAGGGTAGGAGGATGGGACAGGTGTCAGGTGTGAGTCTACCTGGAGGTTGGTTATTTAAACTAGAGGTGCCACAGCCCTGCTCTCCTCCTACCCGTGATACTCCCACGTGTGTACTTGTGCTGGGACTGCAGCTCGTGACACCAGCTGGTAAGATAGTTTGGGAAGCCAGGCTGGCCAAATATGAATCCCGTTTGTGTTCAGCCAGCTGAGCTCCCTGAAATATTTTCCTGCTTATTTGCCTGAGTGCCAGCTGGCATAAAAAAGCGTGGGGGGGGGGGGGGTGATTTGCAGCAGACAGGGAAAGGGCAGGACTGTGAATCAGATGAGATCAGTTTAAGATGTTGTGGTACCACATCTAGAGCTGCAAGAAAGGAATGGTTTAGCTTGTAGCTTTTTGAAAGAAAAAAATCCAAAAGTCATTTTTTTCCAAAGTAATTTTTGGCATTGGTTAAAGTGGTGTCCATGCCTCAGCGTTGCAAGGAACAGGCACTTCCGTACTGCTGAGCTTTTTGGTACTAGCTGTCCTTATCAGCATCAGTTAAACAAGCCCAAGGCAAGTCAGGCTGATGTGCTGAAAATAGCTGCCAGAGTCAAGAGATAGCGTACATCAAGGTCTCATCAACATGGGGATTTTAGACGGCAAAGTTACAGAGTATTTTGTAAGGAAGCTTTCATGTGCAGCCTCTCGCCTGATGTCCCAACTGGCAGCCCAGAGCAGGATCACATTCCTGAGGGCGGGGTGTGCAGCCTTCCAGTTTCCCCACTGGGATGGGTCTTAGCGAGATATCACCACCTCAGCTTCCACAGGGAGAGCACTCTGGTCATGCTTTGGAGGAGGTGCCGATCTGCACGCGTGTGGTGAGCGGATGACTGGGTTCTGCCTTTAAGACCCTTGGTTTCCAGTTAAACTTTCACGCACTTGCTACCTTTTTATGATGACTAAATGCAGACCATTACTGGGGAAAAGAAGGAGAAATAAAGAAAAAATTATCCAACAATAGCTGAGATTTAATTATCTTTAATTCAGGTTAATGTTTTTCATGCACTGTCTTAAAGTTAAAATAACAGCTTTCACATTTAGCACCTCAGTCAAGTGACAGTTGCTATCATCAGGGTAAAATTCACACCTTGCTATGTTCCTCTTTTCAGAGAGACAACTTTTAGCAAAGACGTTTTAAGAGGGCATCAATTTACACCTTTGTGTCCCTGTGAAATTAAAGTTTAGAAATCACTCTCAGAGGCTACTTGAATGTTTGCATCATTTAGATGAACAAATAGCAGAAAGAAGGACTATCAGTCCCCTACTGATTGTCGTTGATCCAAACTTAAAACTACATATTTATGCTGTGAAAGGGAAGCAAAATCCATGTAATGTAAGATTTGGTTTGCTTAAAGTCCAGAAGAGGAGTGTATTGTGTGATTTGTCTTCATAGACATATTAGTGCTACACATCTTTTGTTAGTTATATATTGGAGGGCTGTTTGGATTCAAACTTTCATGTATGCACATAGCAGTAAGAGTGCAATATCTGCTGGCTGGAACATTAATACAATTGACAGTACAGATCTGTGCTGTAGCAAATTATTTTTCTGAGCTAATATTCATCACAGTGAGGTTTTAAAAGTTTCCTATAAGAGGAAAAATAGATGTGATTTCCAGAAGTGATGAGGAAGTGCTTCTTTAGCAGCTGAACTAAAGGTGCACCGTCTCCAAAAGAGATGACATTTACACCCCTCTCTCCTCTTTTTTCTGTCTCTCTTTTTGCACTGAATTTCGGCTGTGGCATTTGCTGATGCCCATATGACCCAACAACAGCATTCCACTGACATCACAATCCCAGTCCCCCCTCCCTATTTTCAGCTTCACAGTCACCAGACTTTACTTTGTGTCAGCTTTGATAGAGCTTTGATAATCATCTCACAATTTAGTGAGCTAATCTAGCTCACCAAAGAGGAAATAAAACTACTCCCCTCCATTTTCTTTATGAGCTCAAATTACCTGTGGAATAGATTGCTGGCCATTGCTGCAGCCACAAAAACAGCACAAGCACAAGCTGAGAGGAGGTGAAGTTGTGAGAAAGGATTGGAAAAGCAGGCCCATACTTGTTGGTTGTAGCAATAACTATATCTTCCCAGCTGCCTTATGAAGTTTGGCCTTTAGAGTGAAATTAGCTGTATCACAGGACGGTTGTGTTGAAACACAACTACATTTGTGAAGAAGGCTAAATTCCCACTCCTACTACTGACTACTTCTGGAGGGAACACAGCATCAACACCTAGCATCCATCCAGCGGTTGTACTTCTAACATGGATCTTCAAAATTACAGCCAGAGGAAGACAGCAGTTATGCGCTTTCTCACAGGACTAGCATGGGTCATACCTGCTTTGTGTTGCATTCTCCAGCTGGAGTTGCTCAGTACTTGTGGAGGAATTCTTGCATGGCCAGACTAGAAGTGATCATTAGAGAGCTGAAAGGCCAAGGGGAATACAGAAACCACCTATAAATAGGCAGAAAGGTATAAAACCTGGCATCTGTTGATAGAAGAAGGATGTTTGTATTTTTTTTTCCTACTGCTTAGAAAACAAGGCAAGCCTGGGAACAGGATCCACACTTGCTAAGGAGTTGGAAGAGAAACTGCATCTGAAAAGTAAAAGCATTTGTGAGCTAAGAGTAATGGGAAGTGGGTTCTCCAATCCTTCAAGGAGTACAGTTCAAGAGGAGGGTAATCATAGATATGGCAGAGGCATTAGCATTTCATACTTAATCCCAAAATTAAGTCAGTTTTAACAGTGCGGAATAAGTAGCTGATGGGACAGTAGCTTGGAACTGCATCATGAGCTTTCTGTTTATTTTGTTGGTGCGAGGCATTTATAAATAGTGCTATTGCCCTTACCAGCCTCTTTGGTGCCTGTATCCACCACTTAAGATGCCAGTGACAATTTCTGAACTGCTACTCAGCTGCCACTGTCCTACTACTCAGGTTTCTTCTGGTGTCACTGCTGACATTGCCCAGTCACTAGCAAGCTGATCAAAGCCAGTTCCTGAGGTGAAATCCTGGAAATCCTGAAGCAAGATTTTCCATAATCAGGGGAAATTACCCTTTCATACTAAGCTTGATGCATATGTGTTAAGTAGTGTAAGGGACAGCCTGTGACCTAGAGTGCACAAGCCTGCAATGCAGTATTTCTAGTGACTGCCCTAATAACTATGTTGTGATACAACTATTAACCAGTGGAAGAAGGAAGAAAGTGCATTAAGACAGGAGCCAATCACATGTAACACTTACTTCATCTGGCATTCATTTGCTTATTCTGCCAGTCAGACCAGATCTCATAGGCATGCCCAGATCACTCCTAGTATCTGTGGCCTGCCAGCTCATGTGTCTGGACACAAACCAACAGTGGATGGAAGAACAGTGGAAGCACAAAAGACAGTACAAGGAATAAAATAACAGGGTAAAAATAAGAGATAGTGAGTGCAAATACAGGATGGGAGAACAAAGTGTTCCATCTGGTACTGGCAAACCAATTAAAGATGCTGATGTAAAGAGGGGTTTGTAGAGCTCAAGAATAGGAAGGTAGGTGCCATTTCAGGTCCCTCAGCTAGCTATACAATGTCAGTGTGTTAGATGCCTACATTTTACTCCCTGTCCCACACTTCAGCTTTCATGCTTTAATAGTGTGGGATGCTTTGTGATCAGCTGGCTGCTTTCTGAAATATTTCTTGCATAGATGTCTGATGCTTCCCTTCTCCAGGGAAACCTGGCTGGTTAGCTCAGGGCTGTAGAATCTGCTCGTTGCAGGAGTTCAGGTGTTTCAGGGTAACTGCAACAGTTCTTACAGCCAAGCTTCTCAAAGGTATCTCAGTGTGAACTACTGTTGTTTCCGACAGAATAGTTAAATAACACTGGGGACTGTATGTCAGGGCTCACAGTTCAAAAGATTCTGAGGGTATTTCCATTGAATAACACTTGTTATTGTACATGGCATCATTGAAGAATGGCAATTTTCTTCAATTTGTTTGAAGCCTTGTGCTGCTTGGCATTTTCTGTTTAGCTTGTACTTTCATGAAAAATAGAACTTCCATTAAAAATTATCAAATATCAGAACCTCCTTACGGCTGATAGACTGGGAAGACTTGCAGAAATCACAAAAAACCCCGAAAAACAAAAAAAAAACAATCCACCACCAAACCCCCCCAAAAACCACCACCAGAAATAAAAATACTCTTAACTCTTTTTTCTTTTTTTTTTTTGTGGGTTTCTTTTTTTGTTGTTGTTGTTGTTTTGTTGTTGTTTTTTTTTAATGCAGTCTCCCTGTTTGGGAGTGTGGGGAGAAAGGAAGTTTTTCATAAGGTTTTGGTTGGCAATAATACATAATAGGATTTCCTAGCCCTTTATGAGATGGATGCTACCTCCTCCTCCTCATCATTTCTATATATTCCTGCCTCTTCTGCTTAATCCTCAACTTTGCCTCTTCAGGTTCCTTTCCTTAAATTCCATTTTTTCCTCATAGGTGAACATATATCCAGGATACATTTAACTATGGCAATACCTAAAATCTTAAAATATTGTCTAGCAGTGCCTAGGAGCTTAAGAATGCTGAAATTGCTGTTGTGAGTCACATACGGATGTCCCTGCTCTAAATGATGCTGTGTATCAAGGGCATTCAGCACAAGCAGAAGAATGGATATGACTTCCTGAATAGCAAACTGAGAGTAAAACAGTCATACTGTTGGCCTGATGCTTCTTCCATTATGTTGTCCTCCATTTCCCTTACCTTGGGTACTATTATGTACCCTCAGAGCAGGTCCGGCTGACTGATACATTGGCAACCATGACATAAATTGCTCTTTGCCCTTCGTCGCTTCCCTCATCACAGCCACACCTGCTGGGTGTGGCAGGGACTTTGGCCCAGGAAATCCACATTTGTTTTCCAGAGTGAAGTTTCTGATTGTCCAAGTTGGAAGTTCTGGAGGAACCTTCCCCCATGGAGGCAAAAATGAAGGTCTTAACAATCAGTCCAGAATCAGTTTTTTCTGGAAAGGAGCGTCATACGTGGCTGTTTGAAATCGCAATAGACATTGTTTGCTGACCCCAAAAAGGGTTTGCTGACCCAAAAAGAAGCCCTCTCAAAAGTGCAGGTTTTCTTTGCTGAGATTTTTCTTCCCTGCGCAGTGCATTTAAATAGCGTCCTGTTGTAAGAGAGAGTTCCAGTTTGCGTTCCAAGTCAATTTGGATGCATTTCTAGTTGCTGGATCATTTAACACCATGTTGCTGTAAAATCTGTAAAAATTTCACTTTGTAAAGGGTTTGGGGATTTTTTGGCTTGGTTTGTTCGCTTGGAGTTTGTTGGTTTGGGTTTTTTAGGTTGGGTTATTGGGGTTTTTTAGGTAGGGTTATGTAATTTTCCTTCCTACTGTAGAAAAAGGTTGGATTGGTTTCAGTAGTGCATTGTAATTACATTAGCTCAGGGGAAAATGCTGACAGTGTAAGGAATACATATTTTTACTGAGAACAACCTTTGTAATGTCTTGCGTAACTGTTTACAATGAAACCTGTTTTAAATGGCCTCACTGAGAGGCAGTGAAAGGTATTTGCCCAGTAGAAGTAGCCCGTGACTGCAGTGTAGCACTGTTCACCTAATGGCAGACTGTAACAAATGCCATTGCTTATTGCAAGTGGTGCTTATTGCAGAATTGTGGTGTATCTGGGGATATTCTGCAAATAGTCCTCTACAAAGAAATGAAACTATTTCCCAAATTCTATACTTCATTATTTCTGAAAGTATTTTTTCCTTTTCCTCCATGGTTTTAGCTTATTGCCTCTTGTTAAGGCAGATTTCAGTGGTGAATGTCATCTTGAATTATATTTTAATCTTTCATCAATTAGTGAAATGCTCCAGGAGGAGGAACAAAATGTATTCAGGAGTTCAAAACCAAATAGCATGACATGGGAAGGAAAGTGGGGAGGCAGGACAGCCAGAGTCTTAGTTCTGCTGTTTGTTGAAAGGTCTGGGCACAGTTTGCTTCACCTGTCTGTTCCCCAGTTGTTCCATCTAAATAACTGTATAATTAAGTATTTGCTTGTCTGAAAGGGACAGTATAAAAACTAAAATCAGTAACTCATACTGCAAAACACTTCGTCCTACCCCTTCATAGAGGAAATACTGAGATGCATTAAATTATATAGATGCTATAATTTGCATTTCAGAGGACAATTCAGTGCATTTTATGACCTCACACTGGAAGTTGAGAGATCTGTTTACACTACAGGGTGGCAAAGGCTGATACTTGGCCTGAAGGGACATCGAAAGCAGTAGTACTGGCCCTTCCCTTACCTGGTGCTCTCACTGCTCCGTGCTACACCTTTGTGTTTGGCAGCGTTCGTTTCCTTGTAGCCACCAGGGAGATGGAACCAGGCAAACCCCGCAATTTAAGGGGAGGGAGAGAAGCATCAACCCAAGACAGATGAGGGCTGCGGCCTGCCTCTTTCAGCGGCAGCAGCAACTTTTAGATCAGCTTCAGCTGTCTTACCTTACCTTGATACAGTATCTGCTGGTATTTCACCTAAGTACAAGCTGCAAGTGAAGTCCTGGCACCACTGAAAGGAAGGGCTTGGCTCCCACTGAGCTCAGAGAGCTCAAAGCTTCCTCTTGCAAGGTGCGGCTTCGTATCAGCACCCCAGCAGCAGTTTGGGATGGTTTAGGAGCTGCCCACACCGCCCCGCTGCTCGCAGCAGCATCTTTACCTGCTGGCTGAATCAGTTCCTGAATCCCTCACTGCTCATTATGAGCTTGATTATGAATATACATATGTGAGTATGCATATGAGTATCAACGTATGTGTTCCTGATAGTATTATCGCAGGATGATCATTTTTGCAAAAAGGCAAAGATGAGTATGTGGCTAGGATTATTAACATTCATTGAAGTACTTGTCATTTTAGCTAAATCTTCTATTAAAAGACTGTGAAAACTATGTATACTATTGTATTATTGTCTTTTTGTGCTACAGTGGTGTCTAAAGGCTCCAGTTATGAGTCATGTCCCTTTTTCACTAAGTACAGTAAGTATGCATAATGTTTTGCATAACATTTTTCACTATACTTAGTGAAAAAGAGACATGGAGTCATGTAAGTATGCAATAACAAAAGATTGTGCGTACTTATTGTACTTAGTGAAAAAGAGACATGACTAAATAGTCTACTCTGTTCTCTGAAGTTAGTGTTTCTTTTTAGTGCTCCTAAAGCTGTGCAATTAAACTGTCATATTGGACCTGATATTTCAAGATACATTCTTCATGGACATACGGCATTTTAATTCTACCACAAAGTAATACTGCTCATATGATTATTGACCTGGTATTGTAACCTCATGCCAGGTCAAACATGACTGATTTTCAGTATGATTTTATTTCATAATAAACCCTTCTTCTTATGTAGCCTCGATTTTTGCTGTCATTTAAGATGGCACAATTCTGACTATTTTTGTTTTCCCTCTGTCAGGGATCACTACTCCAATAGCAGAAGGAGTAAAACAGCAAGTGTATCCATACCTCAGCTCCTTCAGTTTGCTCTTTGGAAATCCATCAAATGAAACAGCTTTCAGTGCATCAGCTTCAAGATGAATTGAACTGCCTGAAAAATGAGAACGACCCTTTTTTTTTGTTCCTGATTTTGCTGCCTGATGTAACTTCTGGTGGCTGGAGGCCTGGGGAGGTGGGTATCTTAGTGGAGGAGTGGGGCAGGATATTCTATAAACTATCTGTTTTGTTCTGTTTTTAAAGCAAATGTTTATAATTTGCTTTAGCTGGTCTGGGGCCAAGTATTTTACACATTTATCAATGCAGACAAATCAGAACTAAACTCAAGTATTTTTAGTAGTCTTGACCAGAACTATAGTCTACACTTCTCCTTAAAAAAATAATTAATACCATAAATTAACTGACCTTTTTTTTTGTAAAAATAAACAAAACAAACCAAAAAACCTGCACAATCAAAAAAACCATCATCAACATAAAAAAAAAATTGGAAAAAAAAAGTCCAAAAAAAAACCCAACCCAAACCAAACAACCTAAGATATGAGAAATACTTAGTCATATTTAGTCAGTGTTAAAAGATGTCTAGTGAGGAAAAATACTAAGTGCCTCTAAGGTAAGTATGAAACAGACATAAGGAGATGGTTATGATACACCTAACTGCCTACTTACTAGCAAACTACTTATGTTTCCTGGAAGAGAAAGGCTTTAAGCAAGGATGTAGAAGAAATTAACTTAGTGGCCTTGCTTTGTTTGGGAGGGACGGGTATCCTCCAATGCCACTGATGATCAAAAGAGAAAGCAGAAAAGTGCTATGTGCAATAAAAGATCGTGCCACCTGACAAAGCAGAGGCCAAAAAGGTGAACAGATTGAAAGGATGTAAGGAAATATGATAGAGTAAACCTCTACATGTAAATCTTTACAATGACAGAGTAAATCTCTACATAGTAGATCTGTGATCTGTCTATGATGAAGTAAACCAACACAGGACCGAAACAAGTAGTATTTTTTACATGGTGAGAAAAAGGAACTAATGGAGAGACACAAATGCAGACATGGTATGATCAAAGTGATGATACAAGAAGAAAGTTGTGTATATACTAGGATTTAGAAAACAAGATTGTACCTGCTAAACTGGGGGAGAAGTGATGACAGCAGCATATCTGCATGACTTACCTATAACATAAGAAGCAAACACTTTGTAGTCTAAGAAATTGAAAAAAAAAAAAGAAATTGCACAATTACTTACAATGCAGGTACAATTTGCCACTAGTTGAAGGCAGAATAAACTGAGCCCCAAGTGTGTCTTGAGCAATGAAGGACACCCATGGTGCCTGAGGACCAGGATAAGGTTTATGTGCCACCTCTGCCTTGTGAGATCCTTTCCACACACCTTACACTTTCTTCTTATAAAATCTATTGCCTTTCTTTGTAGGTGTGTATCTTTTAGAGCATTTTAGAGGTGGTGAGCATCTCTTCACATAGTCAAAACAATCCTGGTGTTTTGATGGGCTGATATTTTGCTTCATGGATTTAAAGTGAAGACTACGTAGTCTTTCTCTCACCAATTCAGATTCTGGTATCTTTGCTACTATCATGTGCTGCTCTCTCCTTGTTCACACAAATTTCCCAGCACACAGCGGTTACTCTCACCAACCTTTAGGACCTCCTCTGCCACTGGTAACATTTGCAGGCACAGGCACTGTTATTTTTATGCAGAGAAAGATTTCTCTCAGGACCTAGTCTAACACTCATTCCATCAGAAATACTTCACATCTGCTCATGCTGTCACAACTATAAACCTTTTTTTTTTTTTTAGTTCATTCTTTGTTCAGTATCACAGATAAGATATGTATTTACTACAAAAAAAAAACAAACCCAGAAACCAAACAAAACTTCTCAAATGCTATTCTTTCTTGCCAGAGAGGAAGAAGGCTGAGGGAGAAGTTGATCTTTGTTTCCACTCCTTATCTCTTGTTTTTTGTTACCTCTTATATTTGTTAATGGCTGCAAAATAATAAAGTAGCTTAGAGCTGAGCAGAGCACCGCCTTGTTATAAGTATCAAAGGCTGATCAGCTTGGAAACAGGGATTAAGAGATTTTGACTCTTCTTTTAAATGCATCGGAAACAAGACTATGGTGGCCCTATGAAACTTCCATGAATGGGAAAGGCTGCCTGTGTAGTTTGTGTGGCACCAGCTGAAGACAGCCCTGGGAGAGGGCAGGCTGGTGAACGCTGCAAAGGCTCATCCCAGGATTTCCAACATTCTGGATGATGTTTAACCCACCTGTTCTCCCTCTCTGGCCACTATAACTACAGGTGTAAGATTCAAGAAGGTCTTTTAGAAGAGACAGACTTCACTCTGGAGGTTTGGCTATTGACGTTTGACTAGGGAAGATGCAGTTCAGTAATGCTGAACAACCTCCTTTGCCTTACCCTGCACCATGTCTCCCTCTTCTTTAGCTCATGTGTTTTCAGACAATTCAGTTACAAAAACTGCCTCAGCACCACCATGGGGACAATGAGTAGCAGGACCACTGGGAGAAGCACAGAGTGAGAAGGAATTCATCTGCAAGGGCAAATGACTGAAGAGCTGATTTGGGCTGGGCTGGGGAATGTGGTGTGTCCTCCAGGTGCATTAAGGAAGAGTATGCTGAAAACCTAGAAAGAGGACAGGAGGAAACAGCCCAAGAGATGGGTTTGTCCCCCTTAAAGAAAGTGTCAGTGACATTTTTTAATAGATGTGGAGGTAAGACACCCAGTTATAATATCTTGTATATGAAAATGCTGACCGCAGGCAATACAAATGAAAGATCTATTAATAGGAGCAAATAAAGCTAGACAAATAATGTTTGACACTTCCCTACATCCTCTGCTCAGCTCAGTACGTTTCTACATTCAGAGAGCTTATTGTTCGGGATACATGGGGAACAATCAGAACAAAAAATGCTTCAGGTAAAATAGTGATACAGGCAAACTGTTTAACATTTAAGTGTATTTTAAGCACTAATAAATTTGTAAGCACTGGTGAAGACATAATCTTTTAACAAAGTGAGGCAAGTAAATAAATATAAGAGCTAGGTTTGTAGTTACCCTACGGGAAGAAATAAGAAACAACCAAATGAATAAAATAACTCTTTGAGTTAAAGAGCCTGCAGGGACCATTTAAATTCAAGCCAATACAGATGCCAGCTTCAGTTTTTAAAGCCCAGGAGGGATGCTTATAAATGCAAACCGTTTTTTACAAAATATGATAAAATTCAGAATAATTCATTTAAAGAGTTTCTTTTCTGAAGGTCTTCAGTCAGGTTCTTAATTGTGTCTCTGAAGTGGGTGAGGCCATTTAAAGGAAAATAAGATACAGAAGCAGAGAAAAACACACAGTTCAAGAAGATAATAAAAAAACAGCCTTTAAAAATGTAAAAGAAGCCCAGCCTTCCAAGAAAAAAACACAACAAAACCAAAAAATCAGCTCACACAAATATTCCACTGCATGCAAAACAAAGCAGTCTCTGATAAATGAATCAAACTGTAGTGCTGCTTAATTTGTAAGTGTAACTTTCAAAACAAAGGGATGGGATGGCCTAAGATTTTTTTGTTGACACTGTCATCATTTCCATTAGGATTTTTTTTAAATGTGCTTGTTTCTTTACTTTAGAAATGTCAACAAAAAAGGCCCTTCAGAATTTCAAATATATGTTTGGAGTTCACAGCAAATACTGTTTTAAAGCCCATTTTGTTCTAAGAATTAGTCAACATTTTTTGTCACTATATAGTGGCACTTTAATTATACTAGTTTGTGCCAGTGTAACTGCATTCAGACAAAAAGCTACAGTGATGCAAATGCTCCTCCTCCCCCCTCAAGCGCCTACATTCAGAAATTACCTTCAAGTCAAGACAGTTACAGACAAGGCCAAAGGCAGGGGAAAAAAAAAAAAAAGAACATTTTAAATAAAAGCTACATCTAAAAATGCAGGCCTTGGCTAAACATTATAAACAAAAATAATCACATATAAAAATCCAGAGTGCTTTTAATGTTCTGAAATGACTCAAGCACCGTTGCCAGCATGGCTAATTCTGTTATAAACAACATCAAGAAGCGAAAGGTGAAAGTTGGAGCTGTCTTCCAACATAACTTTTTTTTTTTGATACAGAAAAATGTTACCTGTGAATTTCAGAGACTCAGAGAATTGCTTCCGTTAGCTGAAAAAGAGAAGTTAAGAAGTAGACTCAAATGTGAAGGAAATAAAAGGTAGAAAAATGATTAGTGTAGGGCAGCAACAAAAAAAGAACGAAAAATAAGACAATGGATGGAAAAGTGGAATTAAGCATGCGGAAAAAAAATCACCCCAAAACATTAGCTGAATTTCTTTTTTTTTAATATCTTTTTTTTCCTCTAGTCTTTTTTGTTTCTCTTTTCCTGAATGTGATCAGTCGTTCTGAGTGTTCCATTTATTTTTACCAGGCCAAATCAAACACAAAGAGAACGCAGGGCAATCAGGAATGTAGCACTTTCACACTGAAATCTGATACCACCAAAGCTGGATGTAGCCTCCGTGAAGCACTTTTTGGTCAAAGGACGAATGATTAGCAAAATGAATTCAATCACATTTCATTGTGCACGGTTCGGGGGTGGGGTGGGGTAAAACACACACCCAAATTGAACCGAAAAGGCTACTAACATCATGGTGGAGAAGAGGAGCAGAACGAAAATGAAATATTCAAGAGCTATGACTGGAGCCGCACGCTGACCACGTGAACCTAATTTATTAAGCAATTCCTCAGATTTTCGTCACACCTTTTTGCACATAAGCAAAACCAGCATGTTGAGAGCTCAACATGCAGTTGCTGTACAGGGCTCTACGGGGCTCTAGATGCAGAGATAAAGCTGAGCAGACAAAAAAAAAGCAGCAGCCTGCCAAAATGCTATCATCTAGGAAAACAGACGGCACAGCCTGAAACCAAAGAATTTTGGTCAAATCCTTCCCCTCCTTCCCTGGCTCTCCACACCCAGACACAGCCTCGGGCTGGCAATTCAGCCCCTGAAAAGGTGCAAGTCCGTAGAACAACAACGCCGTTTTTTTTTCCTTTGATGCTGATAATGAGGGTTGAGGCTTTCTGGGAATTTTTGTTTCTGATCAGGGAAAACAATGATATTCCAACCACAGCCATTAATTAACGAACTAGCTTATTTTAAAGCAAATGATTGTCTCTGCTGTATGTGCTTTGGATAATCCACATGGGACTAAAAATAATGTGTTAAAACAGCGTTGAGTAACTATCGCGACATCCGTCACAAACCGCATTGAGTAACTACCCCAACACCCGACACAGTAAACCGGACCTGAATAAAGACCTTAGTGGTAACCCAGCCTCTAATTACCATACATCCAGCTATCTTTTCCTCCCTCAGACACTTCAGAAAAAGGAGGT